TTGCACTTATTCTGTCCCTGGACAAGGTAGGCTTGAAACCCACGTCTCCAACACTTATGAAGATATGATGGGATGCTCCATCAGTAAATATGTGAACAAGACTGCTAACCTGATTTATGATGAACTAAGGCAAAGAAGAAGAAACAAGACAGCACCAATTTTTATTAGCAAATTGTTTAGGGAAAAGAATTCCACTACCTCAAGAAAAAAATCCTTTAGAGCCAAACTCTTCAATTTCATCTGGATTATTGTTTGAAGTATTTGCTAATGTGACATTTATCAGCATTGAATATCTAGATGGCAAAGTCACCAAATTTTATTTTCTAAAATGTCCCCCCCCCCTTTTATTTTTAAAGAAAAGAGAATATACCTTAGGAGTCTTAAACTTGTTAGTTTGGCTTTGGCTAGCAACATCTTTGACCAAATAAGTACCCTGGGGAAAATAGTTTACTGTGGGGTGCATCTCAATAAGAGATAGGCTTTATTTTTAAAAATTGAATCAAGATAATTGGGCTAACTGTAGACAAGAACAATTTGGTTAGGTCTGACCATGGAATAGTTTTGTTCCTTAACTCTACCAGAAACTGGGAAGAGGACTGAAGAAGAGGGTGCTGTTTTATATTTTACAATGAACTCAATGGCAAGTCTAGAAGCAGCTTAAATTTTTAGAGCTCTAGTTTACTAACTAGAATAGTTGGAACAGTAAGAATTACTTCAGCAAGATGGGATGAAAAGAGTCCCGGTACTGGAATAAGCATACTTCATTTCTAGTGCCATGTCCATCTCTGGTCACTACGTCTGTCAAAAGGAAGAGATTGGGGATAGAAAATATTCAGTGCTCAGACTTCCTCTCCTTAATGCCATACTCGCAGCAGACATCACCGATCAATCTGTCCTCTTATTCCTTTTTGGCCCACAATCCTCAACGCAATACTCCAGGCAGCCACCTAATAGATTAGAGACAGCAGGACAATTGAAACCTACCTGCTAGCCCTAGAATAGAAGAGCTTTAAGGTCCCTTTTAGCTCTAAATTTTTAGGATACCTCACATATCCTACTGGGAGTCTAATGAGGACAAAACATATATGGACAAAATGCTTTACAAGCTTGCTATAGAGGGGGAAAAAAATGGGAAACATGGCTTAGTAAATTGTTTTCATGGCTCCAATGATGGCAGAAACAGAAAATCAAGGACTGCCATGCTTGAGAATCTCCAGAGCCAAAAAGGTATATGCCTTGGAACTAAGTAATTGTCACCAGGGCTATGGCTGTACATCAACTGCACATCAACCTTATTGATAAGACCAAAGCGCCAACAGTCTCAGATAAGTCAAAATCAATTCATCAGTTAGGTAGCTAAGACTGGGATTCGGTAATAGGGTGTATCAATTACCCTGCCTTGGACTGGAAGGAATGTGATGTAGCGTTAACATATAATGAAAAGAAAAATACCATTGAAAACTATTGGTAGAGGAGAAGGAACATACACTAAGTAGGTGTGCACAGTAGAGATAGGAATGAGGTCTGTCTGTCAGTCACTTGCTGCTTAATTACAACGGTTGGGCAACGAAGCTGGCTTTGGGCTTCTAGCGGCCACTGTGAGGAGGGAAACCTAATCGGTGGCACAGTTCCCGGGGGCCACAAGACAAAGAGAAACTCACTGTTCCGAAGAAGCTCCACTAACTGTTCGTGACTCTGTAAGCAGTGTGTTATTTCTCCTGAGGGTCTACGTAAAGAAAACAACATACGATATACTAAATAATATTTTGCCAGTCATGCATCCAGAAGTCCCAGCAATGACGTTCACATGGCTATTAGAGTCTCTTTGCAGAACTTATGGTGCCATTCCAAAGCAGAATGCAGTGAAGGTTAACACTTCGGTTTGCTGGTACTCACAGGATCCGGAGTAATATCTCCCAAACTATAGTCCAAGGGACCTAGGAAATGTTAATAGGTATTCAAAGGTCAAATCTTTATGGTAAACACAGCATACTATTAGCACATCCATCACCAACCCTCCAAATAAATTTGCCTAATTTGATCTAACCCAATAATTCTAAACAAAATCCTTTATCCTAGGGACATCTATTAATATCTAATGAAAAGATTATTCCAGGAAAACATTTCAGAAAATGCCAATCTAGAAGGAAAGGACTGTGTACCTTTTCGGAATTCTTCTAAGCTACTGTTCCTCTCAAGGCAGTTTTGAGAGCTGCTGGATGGCAGTGAGTCTGAAAGGCATTC